TGGGGAGAAGGGGAGTCAGGGCCCCCCCTTGCCTGAGGATGGACCCTGCCCCCTCTTCTGTAGCCCAGGAGTCGTCGAGCAAAACAGGTGTGAAGAGCTTTGATCTTGCTGGAGACTTGGAGCCGGATCAAGGTGGAGGCCTCTGAAATCATGCCCCGGGATGTGAGAAGCCGGGGGAGAGATGGAGACAGAGGCAGGCAAAGGAGACGCAATTACTGTCACGGAGACTCCCGGAGACTCCCGGCTCATTCTCAGCAGTTCTGGGCTCTGTGCTTCCTGGGAGAGCTGGCCAGGGCCTTTGGGTTTTGGGGGAGTAAACTATGACCCCTGAGTGACGTCATAGACCCACTAGGTCATATTTGACCTTTCCTGCTAGGAGGGTGGAGACTCCAGGGCTGCGGGAAGCCCGTGGCCGGCCCATTCCCAGCCTCCATTGCGGGTCTTTCCCTTGACTAACCTTCCCGGCCCCCTCCGCCTGGTACCAGTTGGTGGCCTTGGTTCATGCTTCCTGTGGGATGACACACGTTGGTTGCTAGTCTAGAACAATGGCTCCCTTCTCACAAAGGACTTTACCTTCTTGGTCACACAGAGGGACACGCCTGACTGCTTCCTAATTGAAGTGTAGCCCTCACTCCTCTTCAGTCCCCTCACCCCATTCTTTGCAAGTGGTATACTGCACAATGACAGAGGCTGCACCTGCGCTTCGGGACGAACCCTACTTCTTTGCTCCCTAGCGCAGACACTCACACTGCCGGCTTTGAGGCGGTGCTGGTTGGAAGAGGAAGACCTCTAATTCCTTCTGGCTGCTAAGGGCATACACAGGACAGACTTCTGATGACCAGAGAGGGACAGGCACTTTCAAGTAGTGGCACCTGCATAGACTTTGATGTCAAACAGCCAAGTTCAGGGCTGGCACTGTGGCGTAGCCGGTAAAACCGCCACATTCAGTGCTGGCATCCCATATGGGCACCGGTTTGAGTCCTGGCTACTCCACTTTGATCTAGCTCTGTGCTCTAGCCTGGAAGAGTGGTGGAGGATGGCCCAAGTCCTTGGGCCCCTGCACCCACGTGGGAGACACAGAGGAAGCTCCTGGCTCCTGGCTTCGGATCAGCCCAGCTCTGGCCGTTGTGGCCATCTGAGGAGTGAACCAGTGGATGGAAGACTCTCTCTCTCTCTCTCTCTCTCTCTCTCTCTCTGCCTCTGCCTCTCTGTAACTCTGCCTTTCAAATAACTAAAATAAATCTTTAAAAAAAAAAAACAAACAGCCAAGGCCGGTGCCGTGGCTCACTAGGCTAATTCTCCGCCTGTGGCGCCAGCACCCCGGGTTCTAGTCCCGGTTGGGGCTCTGGATTCTGTCCCGGCTGCTCCTCTTCCAGTCCAGCTCTCTGTTGTGGCCGGGAAGGCAGTGGAGGATGGCCCAAGTGCTTGGGCCCTGAACCTGCATGGGAGACCAGGAGGAAGCACTTGACTCCTGGCTTTGGATCGGTGCAGCGTGCTGGCTGTGGCGGCCATCTTGGAAGTGAACCAGTGGAAGGAAGATCTTTCTCTCTGTCTCTCTCTCTCACTGTCTAACTGCCTGTCAAAAAACAAAAACAAAAACAAAACAGCCAAATTCTTGTCCAAGCTCATTGTATCTAACACAGGAATCACGCACAAATAATCACACCTCTTCTCCCATCTGCCCTTGGGCCAGAATTGGTGATTATGAGCAGGTGTTGGTTTTAGATCTAGTAAGGGACTTTATGCTGTGGGTGCAAGGTTAATGCGATGGGACAGAAATGACATTGGTTGAAAGAGGAAAGGAAAGATGAAAGCAAGGATGTATTCGGGTTGGGGGATGGTTCCGGTGGCCCAGGCTGTGAGCAGGGACTGAGTGAGGAGCCTCTGAGATGGACTGAAATTCCAGTTCCTGGCTGGAGGTCCTTTGTGGAGTCTAGCCCAAGGCGAGCGGCAGTGTTACTGGTTCCCTTCTCAGGCAGATGGGGAGGGCATGCAGCTCAGAGCAGGGCAGGCCAGGTTCTGGTGCCAGGAGGGCATTAGTGTGAATGAATATGGCAGATTCCTCCCAAGGACCTGTGTTCAAAAGATGGCGCCATGGGCCAGCACTGTGGCACAGTAGGTTAATCTTCCGCTTGTGACACCAGCATCCCATATGGGTGCCAGTTCTAGTCCCGGCTACACCTCTTCCAATCCAGCTCTCTGCTGTGGCCTGGGAAAGCAGTAGATGACTTGGGCCCCTGCACCTGCATGGGAGACCAGGAAGAAGCACCTGGCTCCTAGTTCCTGGCTTTGGATCGGCATAGCTCCGGCCGTTGCACCATTTGGGGAGTGAACCAATGGACGGAAGACCTTTCTCTCTGTTTCTCCCTCTCACTGTCTGTAACTCTACCTCTCAAATACATAAATAAAATCTTTATAAAAAAAATGGCGCCACAATGCCAGCCCCTTTTAAAGTATTTATTGATGTTTATTTATTTGAAAGGCAGAGGGACACACACATACACATGGGTGAGGAGGTAGAGAGAGACAGACAGAATGACACACACACACACACACATACACATACACATAGAGAGAGAGAGAGAGAGAGAGAGAGAGAGAGATCTTTTATCCACTAGTTCACTCCCTAAATGGCCACAATGGCTGACACTAGTCCAGGTGGAAGCCAGGAGCCAGGAACTACACTGGGTTTCCCATGTGGCTGCCAGGGGCCCAGATACTCGGGCCATCTTCTGATGTTTTCTCTGGTGCATTAACAGGGAACTGGGTTAGAAGTGGAGCAGCCAGGGCTCGGAACCAGCACTCGGATTTGGGACGTCAGTGCTACCAGCTGCAGCTTAATCCGCTGTGCCACAGTGCCGGCCTGCACGTGCCTTCTCTGGCCCGTGCTGTCCCTGCAACTCAGCCTCAGCCTTCTGGCTTCAGGTAGTGGGTAAGTAGTTCAATTTTTGAAGTTGGGTGGCTACAGAAGCATGGGACTCTTGGTGATTGGTTCTGTTTTTATTTGTTTACCCAATTCCGAGAGGACCAGGAATAATGATGTGATAATACTAACAGCAACTATTTTTTTTTTTTTTTGACAGGCAGAGTGGACAGTGAGAGAGAGAGACAGAGAGAAAGGTCTTCCTTTTGCCGTTGGTTCACCCTCCAATGGCCGCCGCGGCCGGCGCGCTGCGGCCGGCGCACCGCGCTGATCCGATGGCAGGAGCCAGGAGCCAGGTGCTTCTCCTGGTCTCCCATGGGGTGCAGGGCCCAAGCACTTGGGCCACCCTCCACTGCACTCCCTGGCCACAGCAGAGAGCTGGCCTGGAAGAGGGGCAACCGGGACAGAATCCGGCGCCCCGACCGGGACTAGAACCCGGTGTGCCAGCGCCGCAAGGCGGAGGATTAGCCTTGTGAGCTGCGGCGCCGGCTGCAACTATTTATTTTTAAAAGGTTTATTTATTTATTTGAAAGGCAGAGTTACAGAGAGGCAGAGGGAGAGAGAGGTCTTCCATCCACTGGTTCACAGGGATGGCCACAATGGCCAGAGCTGGGCCGATCTGAAGCCAGGAACCAGGGGCTTCTTCCAGGTCTCCCACACGGGTGCAGGGGCCCACGGACTTGGGCAGTCTTCTACTGCTTTCTCAGGCCATAGCGGAGAGCTGGATTGGAAGTGGAGCAGCCAGGACTCGAACCGGTGCCCATATGGGTTGCTGGCACTGCAGGCAGCAGCTTTACCCACTAGGCCACAGTGCCGGCCCCTAACTATTTATTAGGCACTGTACTGTTAAGTACTCTATCTGGAACAAGTGGCAGCACTCTCCTTTTACAGGTGTAGGGAGGCCACATTCTTTACTCCTGGAATTGGGTTTCAGCCCAGAGTCCTGCTCTTCCCCATCACCGTGCCATGTTTTTAACTAATTATAAGTTAGTTTCATTTTAGAGCTCTTTAGGCTGAAAATCTTATCACGGGAGTCCCTGCTGGGTCTGAAGCAGCCTCAGGGAAGTTGGAAGTGTTGACTTTCGGCAGTGGAAGATTCTGGCAGGTTCTGGAGGAGGCCCGAGTGGCTGCCTTCTCCTTCCCCAGCGGCAGTTCCAGGAGGATGGGAGACAGCCTGGGCGGCTGCACCTAGAGCAGCACGTGCCGTCTCCTGGGAACCAGGGTTTGGTGAAGACAATGCCTTTTGTCAGTGGAGCCGCGGGGGACCTGTGAGAGCTCAGAGCACCCTGTGAGCTCCCGACCCTCTGCACCAGTCTCAGAGAGAGGGTGACCTTGCTGCTGATGGCGCAAGCACGTCCATCCGGGTTATCTGTGGTGAAGTTCCAACTGGCTTCATGCAATGACCCTCTCTCCACCCAGACAAATTCTCCCTGCTGTATACTCGCCTCACCACCCCAAGAGATGGATGCCTAGTAGTTATTTGAATGACATGGAATTAATAAAGTATGTTTTTCAGTAAAATATCAGGTGGAACTTTCTGGAGTCCCTGCCTCAACTGAGTGGACAGCCATGACTGTTTCTGCTGTTAAACGATCGAGGTGTCTTTTTAGCCTGCAGTTGATCCTGAAACAGGACGGGGCTTGTGTTGTGGGAATACATAAAATTTCAGGTCAAACAGTGCGACTTCCGGACGTACCCTCTCGGGGAGGTGGGTGCACTGTGTCCCCGTGTCCACCCTCAGAGCGACCACAAAGGACCTGCTGTGCACATGAGAGCTTCCTTTTTTGTGTGTCAATGTTTCGTTGCCTATTTTTGACCATGCCATCAGAAGGACAGGGGGTCGTCTGTGCAGAGCAGCCCCCGGGTCTAGGCGTGTGGGACTCACAGGCACGGATTGTGGCTGGTTAAGGTGATGGTACCAAGGTGCTTTACAGACCTGAGAGAATTTAAGTGAAGGGAGGATGTGCGAGGGGGCAGGCTGGAATCAAACAGGCAGCCTGGGATGCTCCTCCGGCCTGGCTCCTTGGCAACGGTTACTTAGCAACTCCCATTCACCTCTCTTGGCTGCCTTCCTCCCCCCGCCCCCCCCCCCGCCCTTAGCCACTGCAAGAAGCTAGAGAGCTTGAAGTGAATGACAATTTGGAGAAACAGCCACAGCCTGAAGATCTAAGAGGCTCTAAAGAAGATGGATAAGAAAATCGATGCATAATAAAAACCGCAGGCACAGCCACCTTGGCGGAGGGCGGGCGGCTCCCTCCCCGCTCCCTCCTCAGGCTCTCTCAAGGCCCCCACCTTAGCCCTGCACCCTCTCTTTCTTTACAGCCACCTTTTCCTGGTATAAGGAGGCTGGTTTGCCTTTGGGGGTGGGTGTGGAAAAAGAAGCGGGGAAGCCAGGAAGAAAGAGAACAGTAAATGCGGATGTGTGGATGGGTGCCTGGGTGAGGGAGGGAAGAGGGTTGTCAGAGACGCTTTGCACGGACAGAGGTGTGAATTGTGCCGTAACAGAATACCTTCAGTGGGATCACAGGGGGAGAAGGAAAGGTGTGAAGTCACCCTCTTGGCAGGATATTAAAGAAGAAAATATAACCAATTTTTCTGGGAGACCTGGGCTGCAGTATGCATACGTGAGACACTGCGTGTGTAAACATCTATTATTGCCACACAGTAGGAATGTTATTTTCCTGTCTTTCTTAGAAGCTGGGGCCAGAGGAAGAGACATGGTGGAAATTCACATTGGCCTGAGAGTTGAGTTCATGAGCCGGTTCTGTGCTGATCGAGGTTTGTGACTCAGGCTCGTCCCGCCCACCCTGTCAGGTCTTTCAGCTAGTGCACTGCCCTCTGCTTTGAAAGTGGCACAGTGGGTAAAGCCGCTGCCTGCAGTGCCAGCATCCCATATGGGCACCGGTTCGAGTCCTGGCTGCTCCACTTCCGATCCAGCTCTCTGCTGTGGCCTGGGAAAGCAGAAGATGGCCCACCCAAGTCCTTGAGCCCCTGCACCCTATGTGGGAGACCCGGAAGAAGCTCCTGGCTCCTGGCTTTGGATCCACGAAGCTCTGGCTATTGCGGCCATCTGCCACCTGGTTCAGGCTGTGACCCTGCCATATGCTGTTTGTTCATTTCTTTCCTATCAAAGCATCCCAAAGGTTCCTGCATTTCCAGGATGGCTTCCTGGATTGGGGAGAGCTGGCCACTTCCTTGGTCTCACTGTGGCTGGACTTGGAAACCCTCCACCCCCAAGTCTCTGCTCCACACACACCCTGGCCCACCACGCCCATTTTCCACACCCTGACCCCCGCCTTCACTTTACACACATCTTGGTCGCTACTGTGTTGCTGTTGAATATTTCAGTGTCTGACCTTCCGAGTTTTTCTTTTTTTAGTCTGTCCTTTTATTTAGCCTATCTTTGTGGCTACATTACGAGTCCTTAAAGTGCAGGAGCACCGTCTGTGTAATTTCCCGCCCCACAGGTAGGAGCAGACAAGAGAAGCCAAGAGACTGTTCTCTTCTGTCCTGTGGCTTCTGTTTCACATCTGCCTTCCGCATTCTCACCTTGCTGGTCTCCTCCCACCATTGCCCACCCCCTCCTCCCTAGGTTACTCATGCCTTTTTTTTTTTAATAGCTGAACTTGAACTCTTCCTGTACTTGATTCTGAACATGTTGTTGAGGGGGAGGAAGAGCTCTTTGTTAGAGGGAAGCTACCCGAATCAGAGCCTGAGAAATGCACACAAATGAAATTGTAAACTGGGTGCCAGATGCTAAGAGTACCGGGGGATAAAAGAGGGGCTGGAATTTGGCTTACTCATGGAAGCCTTCCTGGAGGAGGAAAATACTGAGTAGGGTTTGGGAAAAAAAAAAAAAAAGAAGAGATTGTTAAAAAAAAAAAAAAAGGTTGGGGGGAGGGATATGCCAGGCAGAGATCCAAGGGTTTGGAGCTAGAGAGCGTGGGAGCAGGTTTGCTTTGTGAAGATCCAGGAGCGATTGGAGGGTGGAATCGCAGCCCGATGTTCAAGCATGAGGCCTCAGCTGGAGAGTGAGGGTTTGGAATGAAGGATGAGAACCAGCGCCGGCTCCCCAGGAGACGCGAGCTCAGGGTGACCGGGAAGGTGAGGTTGCCGAGTGGAGAGTGGCTACGTGGAGACCGGAGACTTCTGCGTCTGACCAGAGGCCTGGTCAGTGGCCTGGCTGGGGCGTGGGGAGGAGAGGGAGGTGGAGGCCTCACGGGTGGGGAGGGGCTGGGTACAGGGAGCCATTGTTTCGCCAGAGCTTGCATCACTCACTTGTGCCCTTTGAACAAAACCTTCTGTTTTCAGCTCGAGCTGACTCATCGCTGGCCCTGCCACCCCCCCAACTCCTGGGGGAGCCCTTGAAGCCCAGGTGAGACCAGTGCTGCGGGCGGGCGGGCAGGCGGGCCAGCTCCCTGGGCCGGGACTCCGGCCGCGACCCTTTCGTGTTTACCTGTCTGTTTTTCAGGCCCTACCTGCATCTGAAGACCACCGGGAAGAACCTGGATTCGTTTTACTCTCCTTCCAGGATGTGTGGCCCTTGCCTAATTGTAGACCCAGTTCAGAAGCGCTAACCTTTCCTGGTCTCCCCTGGCCACACTGTCCCCAGGCTTTGTCACGGCCTCTGTGAGGTGCTGGCTAAGGTTGAGGAAAGGGATGGGATGTTGAGAACTTGGAACTCAGAAGCTTGGGGGCCTGAGCATCCTAGGGATGGATTAATCGGATGGCAGGAGGCCTGCGAAATGGGGGAGGGGAGGAGGCATCAGTTCTGCACTCTTGGAGTTCCAGGGCTGTCTTTCCGGCTGAGGCTGTCCTGGGAGAACTTGAGCGGGGGCTTGGGATTTAGCAAAAACCTGAGAACATAAGTCGGCTACGGGCTGAGGGCTTCTAGAATGAAGACGGAGAGAAGGCAGCAGTGCGTCTCTCGGCTGCGCTCCGGTGAGCCAGCCCAGGCTATGCCACGTGGCCTCAGCGGCAGCTTATCCCAGCCAAGCTGCCTCTGACCGGCACCCGGCCAGAATGGAAGGAACAAACATTTCTCGAGCATCTACAAGGCGCTAAGCATGGGTCTACTCTTCCCATGTGTTTTCTCCTTCAGCCACATCCTCGTTCAGAATGAAGGTCTCAGGCAACAGCTGGAGGAGCTGAGAGGCAGACTCACTTCCTCCGGCTTCTGAAATGCTGCTTCTTCCACGACACAAGTTAGCATTTACATCCCGGACATGGCCTTGTGCAGTTAGCCACTGCTGTGTCTCCAGTCACACCACGTGCCAGGCCAGGTACGCAGTGTGGTGGGTGATGGACACAAGGGCAGTCCCTCCCCTCCAGGTGCTCGACGTCATTTAGGAAGACAAGTTCACAGACTGAACCCACAGGGCACTGGGTTCTAGGAGCATGACAGGGACAATTAAGTGTCATGGGAATTGGGAGAAAAGAGGGGAAATTGTGATGGGATCATTAAGGAAAGCTTCACGGGAGGGGTAGGATTTTAAGAAAAATGTTAAGGATATAACATTTGGGGACCGGCACTGTGGCGCAGTGAGTTAAAGTCCCAGCCTTCGGCGCTGGCATCCCACATGGGTGCCAGTTCGAGTCCCGACTGCTCCACTTCTGATCCAGCTCTTTGCTGTGGCCTGGGGAAGCAGCAGAATATGGCCCAAGCACCTGTGTGGGAGACCCAGAAGAAGCTCCTGGCTCCTGGCTTTGGATTGGCACAGCTCCGGCCGTTGCAGCCATCTGGAGAGTGAACCAGCAGATGGAAGACCTCTCTCTCTCTGCCTCTGCCTCTCTGTAACTCTGCCTTTCAAATAAATAAACAAATCTTAAAAAAAAAAAAAAAAAAGACGAAGAGGGAGGGTGACAGCTTTGATGCTGAGTAGAGTGAGCAGAATGGCCGGTCCTCCAGCAGCAGCAGACATTAGGAGAGGATGGGTTTGACGGGAATGCAGATGACTTTTAAGGTTAAGTCGACCTCAGGCGGTGGAGCCTGCGCTGGGAACGTTCTGCGTGCACTGGAAGTGGGAGACTGGAGGGAATGTGGGCAGATCTGGAAGGGCGGGTTCAGAACGCACCAGAAGCCGTACCAACAGCTACTGCACAGCTATGAACACTGAGATCATTGAGACAAAGGAAACTAGAAAGTAGAAGATAACCTTCAGGAAGAAAGGTCACTGGGTGGGTTCACCTTTCATATCTCTGGGCACTAACTGCTCCTTGTCTTATTCCTGAGGGGTGGGGTTAAACCCTGCAGAGACCCCCAGAGACCTAATGCTGAGCCCTTCCCTCTTGGAGAACAGATCTTGACCAGACAGGCACGGGCTGGACTTGCATGGCGAATGTCTGACAGCTGGAGACTGTCTTGGATACGTTTGCATGCGATGATTTTTGCCTCCCCAGAGGAGAAGGAAATGCTGGGGCCGTTCTGCTCGGGCTAGCTTGAAGGGCTCACGCTTCAGTGCAAATCTGCCCCGCACCCATGGAGGAAGGACTCGGAACCCCAGTCTGGGAAGCGGGTGGGCGGGGTGGAGCTTCCCTGGCCTTTTCCGCAGCTCCCCGCCCTTTTCCACTTTGCATCCAGAGATCTCAAAGCTCCGAATCCTCCTTGATCTTCTTCCTCGGCCCCTGAGTCATCCTCTGCTTGCTTCCAGTCTCCCAGATGGGAGAGCGGTGGAGACCCATGTTTGGGGATGGGTGCGTGGGGGGTATGTGGGGGAGGAAGCCACGGGGACCCAGGGGCCCCCTAACCGACCATGGGGTGGGGCACGGGGCGGGCATCCAGGTGGCTCTAGGCCACCCTGGGTTTCAGATCCTGCTTTTTTGAGGTTGTTTTATGACTGAAGAGACTCGGGCAAAGAGTCCGAGCTGGAGAAATTGAACAACAAACAAAGCTGTAAAAGATGCCGATAAAATTCCTCCCAGCACAGAATGGTCTTTGGAGCCTCTCAGGAATCTCAGAATGATCTGGAAAGGCTAATGACGTCTCACGGCCAGGCAGCGCCAGGGGACCGATGAGGGATGCTTCCCTGGTCTCCTCTTGTCTCTTTGGAGAGCGGAGAATGAAGACAGGAAGTGTGGGGGTTTTTGAGACCCCATTTTATAAGGGAGTGCCCTAGGGATGTGGGAGCAGGAGAGGGGACAGGGACCCTGAATGGGGGAATAGGAAGGGAGTGTGACAGTGAGCCTGCGTGGGGGTGAGGGGTGGGCGAGTCTGGCTGGGGTAATGGCACCAGCACGCTGGACGGCAGTCAGGGGGTGAGGGGGGGTCTCAACTGGGAGTGCATGAAGCTGGAGGATCTGCCCTTGGGCACCGAGTGGACAGGAGTCTGGCTTGGGCGAGCTATGTGAGCAGAGGGAGCGGGGGTCCTGGGAGAATGCGGTCAGCACCACCTGTGTGAGAGAAGAGACCTGGGGAGCTGGGGGGAAGCCCCAGTCTGGGTGAGTGGGGTCAGCCTCCCCTCCCCAACACCGCCGCCAGCTGTTTTTCTGTTCTTTGTTCCAAATGAGTTGGTGGATTGGCCACAAAGAGAAATCTGCTGTGACTTAGAGGTGGGAGGGAAGGAGCTGATAGGGGCGCGCGTGTGCACGGGGGAGCCGTGGAGACTGCCGGTTTCCATGGTGATAGCCGAAATCTTCCTTTCTCGTCTCCTGGTTTTTACAGGAGATGCCTGCCAAGGAGAAATGCTACCTTTTCATGGCCTCAGGAAAGTGGAGCTCGGGGGGTGTGCGGGAGGCTGCGAGGGGGAGGCTCTCTAGCTAGGCAGTTATCTCTGACCTGTCGAAGAACATTCAAGAAGCTGGCAGGTGGAGAGAAGCAATGCAAAGCAGAGAGCCTTGTCTGCAGGGCGGAGGTCCGGGGCTTTGGGGAGCACCTGCCAGCAGTGCCATCCGGACCTGACTGGGGGCAGGTGGGGCCTCTCTGAAGCCAGAGACTGTGTTTGGACCACAGGGACCCTCCCTGAAATTTCCCATGTGGTGACTGGAACATCTTTCCTACAGGCCGTCTCTCTGGGCTGTCCAAACGGCCTCCACATGGTGCCGCCGCGGGGCACAGGAGACCTGGTCCCAGGTGGTGGGTGTCAGGGAGGGCTGGCAGAGAAGAGCTTGCTCCCCGCCCAGGTGCCAAAGGCCAAGTGGGAAATGGTGAAAAACCCCGACTGTCCAGTTTCTATCCACTTTCGCTGTGAGACCCTGAGAGCTCGGGTGAGTCACCTCCCCCCAAAAACAACACACAACACACCAGGGCCTCAAGCCTGCTTCCTGCCCCAGAGAACCCTGCCTTTTTGCCCCAGTCACCCCCCCTTTTGTAAGCAGCTCTGAGTTGAGGTGGGTACCAGGTGCCCAGCACAATGAGGTCATGTCTTAGGCACAGTAGCTCCTATGTGCTCCCCGAATTCCTTCCACCTGCCTGACTTGTTCAGTGACTTCTCTGCGAGGCAGCTGCCAAGGCCGGCTCCTCCATGCTTGCAGACTTGCTACTGGCTGTTTGTCGAATAAACAGCTGTCTCCTGCTTGTCTGTCTCAGCCGTCTGCCCTTAGCTTCCAGCAGAGCCGCTGACTTGCGGGGGGCCCCTGGGGAGTTACCTCCTCCAGCTGGGGGCCCCAGCGGTTGGAGCCACAGGGAATCTTATTGCCCAGACGGTTCCCCGTTCCCTTCTTTTTTCTCTGCCCCCCAGCTGCTGCTGTGCCGGCACCAGTGCCCTGGAAACCCCTGGTTCTCTTGCTCCAGTGCCTGCTTCTCCCAGGCCCTGTAGCTCTGTGCTCTTGCCCAAGACCCCTGAGCTCGCACCTCCTCCACCGCCACCCCCCCTTCCTTCTCCATCTCTGCCCATCTCCCTGCAATGTCCCTCAGGCTTTCCAACCAGGCTTCTCTCTCTCTCTCCCCCCCCCTCCTCCCTCTCTCTCTCTTCCTCCTTTCCTTCATCTTGTATTTTTTTGGGGTGCCTATTAACTGGCGGTCCTCGGGATGACTTCGAGGGTACAGAGTGGACAACCACACACCCAGCTCTGTAAGGAAGTGTGGGGTCTGGGAGGACAAACATCCGGGTACCAGAGCGAGGTTGACACCACGCGGCGGGTGAAGCCCCTGGGCCTTCCCTTTCCAAGTCGGATCGTCACATTCCCTTGTTAGTGAGTTCCGGTGTCTCCCAACTCCTACAGGCAGGCGATCTCCTCAGTGCTCCAACTCAGCTACTCCCGCGGTTAAGAGCGTTCCTTGGGCTGCAACTTATTCACGTGTGCTTTTTATTTTTTCAAATGAGCATCATAATAATGCTGACTTTGCCATGTGTTGGGGGCGTTTGAATTAATGGGGATATAGACACGAAACTGCGAAAGTGAGATAACATCCCTCTTAACTCCCTGGTTAAACAACAGAGGAGAGTCTGTCTGTCTTACAGGCAGAACAAATGGAAGGATACTTTGAAATACTTCTGAACTGTCTCAACCATTGGTCTCTTTTCTATTTACCCAGTGTTTATAGAAAGGAACTCTTGGGGGGCCGGCACTGTAGTGTAGTGGGTTAAAACCCCAGCCTGCAGTGCCGGCATCCCATATGGTCACTGGTTCGAGTCCCATCTGTTCCTCTTCCAATCCAGCTCTCTGCTATGGTCTGGGAATGCAGTAGAAGATGGCCCCAGTTCTTGGGCCCCCGTACCCACGTGGGAGACGCGGAGGAAGCTCCTGGCTCCTGGCTTTGGATCAGCTCAGCTCTGGCCATTGTGGCCATCTGGGGAGTGAACCAGCAGATGGAAGACCTGTCTCTCTCTCTGGCTCTACCTCTCTCTGTAACTCTTTCAAATAAATAAAATAAATCTTAAAAAAAAAAAGTAATTCTTGGATCTCTATAGCTGATGAGATCCATGTCTCTTGAAAAACGCCCTGGAAGAGGACGAGTGCCCTCACATTGTGATGGAGCTGGAGAGCAGACCTGGGCGTGAAGACATGGGTCACGGGAGAGACCCCCCCCACCCCCCCACGGTGCGGCTCCTCTGCTCGGTCGCTGGAGGCATGACCTGGGAGGGGTCCAAGGATGACATGGGAGAGCGGTAGTGAAGCTTGATCCTAGATGGTGGATTTCCAAGGGAAATTAAGATCTGACTAGGCTGCCCTGAGTCAGAAAATGTCCCTAAGCCCTGCTCCTATTAATGACTTAAGAGCAGCTGGCTCTACTCACTCCATTACCTGCAGAGGGCGGAGGCAGGGGGCAGGGGCAGAGGATTTTCCTGGAACCCAGCATGGGAGGGCTGCCTCCTCCCAGCTCTCTGGGGTCCGTGCTGTCTGGGCTGATCCCGCTGGTCTCCCTCTGCTGCGTCTCCACTGGGTGGCTTCCCGGGCGATATCTGCCTTCCAAGGGTTCCCTCTCCTCGCCCTGCCTTCGGACCTATCCCGACTCCCTTCTCAGCCCCTCCTCTGCCTGTCGGGAGTGTTCTGCAGTTGTCTACCTCGAGGCCCATCCTCTGTTTGGGGGTGCTGGTGGTCTGTTGTTTTCTGGCCCCAGTGTGCAACTCCTCCTCCTTTTTTTTTTTAGTGGTCTTTTCTTTCCCCCTCTCTCTGTGTTGCCCTCGCCAGCACTGCTGCTCAGCTTCCTGGGGCTCTGTGGGCGGCCACGGTTTTCTTTGTGAGAACCTTTTCCACTTTGATGGCTGGGAGGTTCTTTTCGGAGCTGGTTTTCATCCTCAACCGGTTCCTTCATCCCCTCTCTGCCTGATGTTCTCGTGGGGCCGGGAAATAGCTGCAGGTTCCCAAGGACTCTGAGCCTGTGCCTTTTAAGCGCTTGCTTCCCCTGGCGTTAGCGGGTTCTTTCATCTGCAGGCCACTGAGCAGGAGGAGACGCGCGCCTGGTTCCCGCAGAGCTGCTCCTAATGACTCAAGATGAACAGTGAGGCTCAAAGGCACAACAGAAACCTGTCTGTAATGTGCTGGTTTTTCTTTTCAAATCCTTAACACATAAGCAACCTATGCTATGGCAGAAGCGTGAAGTGGGGGCTGAGAGATGGCTCCAGAGTTTAACTTTGCCTATTTTTTTCTTTGCAAAAAGGAGATGAGAGAGAGAGAGAGAGAGAGAGAGAGAGAGAGAGGTTCCATCCACTGGTTCACTCTCCAAAATGCCCACAACAGCTGGGGCTGAGCTGGGCTGCAGCCAGGAGCTGGGAGCTTAACCCTGATCTCCCACACAGTTGGCAGAGACCCAAGTACCTGAGCCATTGCCGCTGCTTCCCAGGGTCTGAAGAAGCAGGCAGCTGGACTCCAAGGGCAGAACCAGGACTAGAACCCAGGCTCCTGGATGTGGGGAGTGAGCGTCTCAACCGGCATTCGATCCACAAGGCCAACTCCCACCTTCAGGAGATCCATGCTCCATTCTGGAGGAGGCCTGGGTTCTGGTCATCTTCTTATGGCCTCTGCCTCCACCGTAACTTTTAAAAAGTATTTATGGGACTGGCGCTGTGGCGTAGCAGGTAAAGCCGCCGCCTGCAGTGCTGGCATCCCGTATGGGCGCCGGTTCAAGACCCAGGTGCTCCACTTCCAATCCAGCTTGCTGCTATGGCCTGGGAAAGCAGTAGAAGATGGCCCCCAAGTCCCTGGGTCCCTGTACCCACCTGGACCTGGAGGAAGCTCCTGGCTCCTGGCTTTGGATCAGTGCAGCTCAGGCTGTTGCAACCAATTGGGGAGTGAACCACCAGATGGAAGATCTCTCTCTCTCCTTCTCCTCTCTCTCTCTCTCTCTCTCCTTCTCTTTCTGTGTAACTCTGTCTTTTATTTTCCAATAAATGTCTTTTATTTTCTGTGTAACTTTTATTTTCCAATAAAATGAAAATAAATACTTTCTATTTCTTTCAAGTAAAATAAATAAATCTTAGAAACAATAGAAAGTATTTATTGTCATCTTATTGGAAAAGTAGAGGGGGTGGGGTGGGGTGTATCTCCTGGTTTGCTCCCCAAATGCACACAATGCCCAGGGCTGGGCCAGGCCTAAGCCAGGAGACCAGAACTCCTTCCAGGTCTTCCATGTGGGCGGCAGAGACCCAAGCACTTGGGCGGCACCTCTGCCTCTCAGTGAGCACATCAGCAGGAAGCTGAATCGGAAGCAGAAGAGCAGGACTTCCAGCAGGCACTGCACCATGGGTACTACGTAACTAAAGCACAGCTCTCAATTCCCTCCCCAGTGTTTTTTTTTTTTTTTTTTTTACTTTGATAAAGCATGTGACATCAGATGTACCAAAGCCAGGAGCTTCTTCCGGGTCTCCCACATGGGTGCAGGGACCCAAGCACTTGTGCCATCTTCCACTGCTTTCCCAGATGCATTTGCAGGGAGTTGGATCAGAAGTAGAGCAGCCAGGACTCAAACTGGCGCCCATATGGGATGCCGGCATCACCGATAGTGGCTTTACCTGCTTCACCACACCAGTCCTAATCCCTTATTTTTCCTCTTCTCCTGCTTTTTTATTTTATTTTTTTGACAGGCAGAGTGTACAGTGAGAGAGAGAGACAGAGAGAAAGGTCTTCCTTTTCCGTTGGTTCACCCTCCAATGGCTGCTGTGGCCAGCGCTCTGCGGCCGGTGCACCGCGCCTATCCGAAGGCAGAAGCCAGGTGTTTCTCGTGGTCTCCCATGCGGGTGCAGGGCCCAAGGACTTGGGCCATCCTCTTCTGCATTCCCAGGCCACAGCAGAGAGCTGGACTGGAAGAGGGGCAACCGGGACAGAATCCGGCACCCTGACCGGGACTAGAACCCGGTGTGCCAGCACTGCAGGTGGAGGATTAGCCTAGTGAGCCACCGCGCCGGCCTCTTCTCCTGCTTTTACACTCCTTCCCTGATGCGCTCCAACTGCCCAGCCTCTGTTACGTGATATCCCCCCCGCCCAGCCTCTGTGGTTGCTCTTTATCTGTCTTTATCTTGCTCCTTGATCTGTCAGTTAAGTACCTCTCTGGTGGAGGTGCCTCAAGGCACCGAGCTCCTCCTCGCTGAAGTCCACTCTGAGCTGCCCTTCTTCTATTCTAGACCCTTGCTGCCCAGGGTCTAGCAGGCATCAGCATCACCCAGGAGCTTGTGAGAAATGCAGACCCTGGGACTCCGCCTGCAACCTACAGAATACAAATCTGCGCTTCCATAAAGTCTCCGGATGATGGGCGTGCATGTGAAAATTGGAGAAGCCCTGCGGTGGGAGGGGTGATAAATAACTCCTTTTGCAGGTGTGCATCGGTAAAAATGATCTCAGGAACCTCCCCAGACTGCACGCCAACAGTGGAGAGCGTTTTGTGGAGGATACTTTGTGTCCTCTGGCTTTACTGATTGCTTCCAGAACTGGGCTCGGGACCCTGCACTCACACCATGAGAACCGCCTCCCCCCCCCCCAACCCCATCCCCACTGGCTATCTGGCTTGGAGCCAGGTAGAACAGGCACAAGGGGCCCGGAAATTCACTTTGAGGTTGGCTGATGCTGGTTTTCCCAAATTAAGCACTTGTCCCCAAGCAAGCATTTGTCACCCTGGTCTCCCGGTCTCCAAATAACCTGGTTTCTGTCTCCATGGCTGGTGCTGATTCATATTTTGTAGGAGGTTTGATTGTAGCTGGGAATGGCTCAGGAGCTGGTGTCATTCTCTCCGTCTCCCTCCCCCCACCGGGAGGCAGGCAGGAGGGGCAGGCAGCGTGCAGACAGGGTGTGGGAGTCAAACCCGCACTCACACAGCAGGCGTCTCGTCTCACTCCAAGAAGTTGAGTCCACAGCTGGGAAAGCTTGGAGCCAGCCTCTGAGTCGGCTTGGCTCACATCCAGCCTCCCTCTTTTTTGGTTCCTTCTCCCTTTGGGAAGCAAAGGGAGTGGGGGAACATCTTCCCCCACTCTCCCACTTCTGGGTATAAGAGGGAAAGACTAGGGGTTGGGGGGTGGGAGTTGGACCATCCTCAGGCTGGTGCCTGGCCCTCCTCAGTCATCCCCAGGAAGAGAGTACCAGGAGGCACATGCCTTGTGGATTTTTGGGGCCTGAAGGGATTAGAACTGGAGGACAGGGCAGTTTGGGTCAGCTGGGGACAGGTGCTGTGCTGAGTGGGACAATGACGTGAACGGGACATTTCCCCAGAGTCAGGAGCAAGGTCACTGAGTCTCTCCCATGTATTTCTGGGCCCCTGGGTCTCTGGATTTTGCTCTGCTGGTGGAGAAATGTGTTTTCCCATCTTTGCCTGGGGGGTGATTCCTAGAGCAGAGGCCGTCAAATATGGCATCCTGAGCAAAAGACCGCCCCCCCCAACATACCCTGGGATCTGAATCTTGGGTGTTACTGCATCACGGGCCGGGACGAGGAGCGGCTTGGGGGTCTGGTGACCAGGTTCAGGAACAGGGACTCTAGTTTCCAGCATTTCAGTTGTGCCGAGTGAGTGGTAGCGCCTTTTACTGCTCTGTCCTCCAGGGTGCCATGGCGTTGGCTGCCGTCCACCACCAGGACATCTCACGCTTCTGATTCCTATCAGTTCTGCTGCTGGACTCTCAGACTCATTGCTGTGGCATTCGTTCCAGTGTTTGTATGTCCTAATCATGTCTATTTCCCTCAGCAGGCTGAGGGCTCCCCACGGGCAAGGAGGGGCACCCCTTTCTCTGGATCTCACTGCATACTGATGTCAGTGTAGGCTGGGGAATGAGGAGAGAATTTAAGGGACTCCTAACTTTCTAATTCAAAAAGTATCCAATGGGGCTGGCGCTGTGGCGTGCTGGGTAAAGCCGCCGTCTGCAGTGCCGGCATCCCATATGGATGCCTATTCTAGTCCCAGCTGCTCCACTTCTGATCCAGCTTCCTGCTAA